TAATTTAGCTTCAATATACTTGGACACATCTTATTTTTCTCTAAAACTGATGTCATGTATATGACCAACGAGTTCCTCTATAGCAAGCAATCAGGTCTGAATTGGATGATAATTTTATCAATCCGTAATAGTTTCCTAATTAATAAGCTCCCTCCAATATCTTATCGAATATTAGACATCTTGTTTGCTTTGTCATAATTCTACTATGTTAGTAAATGAACCATTTCCTTAATCGCCACATTCAACTTCTAATGCATATACTCCAATATATTAAAAACTATTATCTTGTTCAGTCCATTAATTTTAAGTACCTATTGAAAATTTACTATGGCTGGCTACCCTTTAGATATAAATCGATATTGATTTTTGTTTGTTTCTAAATAATACCCTTAACTGGTGGAGTGTTAGAAATAATCAACTATTGCTAATTTTCTTACTAATGCAGAAATTTGAGTACTTGCTACTGTCGTAGTCAACATAATTTGACTCTACCAACCTCTCTAAGATTTCCAAAAACCCCTTCAACATCCTTCTCCTCTTTATTGCAATAATACTTTTGTTACGTCCAAAATCAAATAATTTAATCTTTAATGTTTACAACAGAACACATTGTAAAACTAATCATTTTAGTAGGGAGCATATTCCATCAAATAATTTAATCTTTAATGTTTACAGCAGAACACATTGTAATAATTAATCATTTTACCATAGAGCATATTCCATCTGAGGAAATCTTAATTCCTTATGCCCATTCTTAATACCAACCCGTTAACCTCTTCATCGAGGCTCTCCTACTACTTGGTCATTATCTTTGTGAGACAAAGTAACAATTCAACTCTTGCATGTCTTCTTTGGGAGACCTAACAATCGTTTCAATTATAAGTATGTGTACACTCTATTATCTTGAAGGCTCAAAAACATTAACTTTCCCAAGTTGATATTAGTCCACTCAAGTTAGATTTACTAGCCACAAATTATTCAACTTAGTCATCCAATTTACAATTAGTTTGTTAGCAAAACTTATGGTGAACTCTCCCGTCCATGATGAACTTGCAAAGTTCATGAAAAACTCATAAAATTTATGTTGAAATAGCCGATTTGATAAAGCTCAAGCATAATCTCTCGCTCAAGAACTATTCAAAGACTTTTTTCAAGAGAATTCATTGACTTCTAAACAAGTTTGCTACAAAATTCAAATACCTTATTAATTTTAAAATGACTTTCCAATGTAACTTGGGAAATACTTTCTTATTTCTATAACTCAATATGCAAATTTTCCATCGCACTAAAAAAAATGGTCATGCGAAAAGCTTGGGGTTACATAATTTCATGCAATTAGGCTCAATTTCCTGTACTCAAACATGTTATAGCAAAATCTTAGAGAGAGTTTGGTTGCATGAAGGATTTAGTATTTCTGTAAATCCATTAAAAGCTCCCTAGCTCTAGATTTAATAAATTCAAATTTAAATTTTATTAAAAACAAAACTTATTATCATAAATTCAAAAATTCATAAATCAACCAAACATTTACTTTTTAACGTTTGATTGAATTTAATAAAACAGATTATAAATCATACTAAAAGACAGTGCTAAACGACGCTCCGACTTCTTTAGAATCTCTTTATCACCCATCTTTCTATTCTCTTTTCGTCAACTCCGAGTAAAATTCAGATACAACCCAATGAGAATTTTGAATTCAACGTAACGCATCAAAAATAGAGCCAAATCTAACCAGTATAAAAATTGCCACCACAGGAATTATCTCTGCCAAGCAATCCTCTCCATCTACATTGCTGCAGTCCATCAAACCATCCTTTCCTTTAGTATATACAGTGTAATATGCAGCACAGGTTCTGAAGGAAATGCATTTTCTAATTACCCATTCCTTGTCTTTCTTCTGTTTGCGATTACCCTTTTTCTGCATATGGCATCCATTGTATGTTTGTATTCAGTGCTGAAAGGTTTCAGTATTTACCACTTACATTTTTATGTATTTTTATATCTAACTCTTAAGCTTCAATTTTTATATATTTATGCCAACTTATATATCATAGGAATGAAGATGGGAATATCATTTTTTAAAGCTAAAATAGAGATATTTTTATGTGATATCAAGGATTTGGGGGGCATGAATGTAAAAAGTGAAATTTAGATGTTACATGTGTAAATGAATAGGAAATGACTGATAATATGCATGTAAATGCCCCTTTTTTTATTGGATTGAATCTTCCAAGCTAGGTGCATATAATTTATGGAATTTTACTCAATTTATTTCTTCATTTTGATGTGTATACACAAATATGACAGTATGAGATTTTTTACACGTATAATTGAGCTCACCTGCTAAAGTGATGGAAGTGTGCCCACCAGCCAAAGTGGTTAAACTGAGCCCACCTATCAAAGTGGTTGCTAGTGTCTCCCACCCATATGGGCAGCTTAGCCCACATAGAGAGATACGACTATTGGAGATGATCAATATTATCAGCAATAGCACAGGTCCATCCACCTTTAAAAACGTTGGCTAACATTCACATCACAATCTTTTCAAGGCAAAAAGGATGAGAATCATACAGTCCTAAGGATATTTTTGTTATTTTTCTTCTTTGTATAAAAGAAAAGTCGAGCTAAGAAAAAAGGGTCTCTCTCTTGCTCGCTCGCTCGCTCTTTCTCAAAAATCTTGTAGCTCAAAAATCCTGTAACGAACGTAATATTCTAGCTCACTGGAGGCTAGAGTTCAAAAGATAATCTCTCAAACCACTTCTAGGTCTTACACCCATTTCTCTCTTTTCTACCTTTCCTCCACAAAAATAAGATCTTTATCCGATTGTATCTATTCACGAATGATATGAAACCTTATGTTTTAAATAAATTCAACATCTTAAGAGGTGCAATGCGCATGGAATTCGTAGTCAAAGTTTGCAAAATGATCTTCATTATGTGTGCCCCTTTTTGTCCTGACCAGAAGTTTGGACTTTTTAACGTTCGTCCTTTTTCAAATCTTTGTGTCTTGATCTCCCTTGATTAGAAAATAATAAAAGAAAGGTAAGAATAAAAATGGAGAAAAACTAAGAAACAAAAAAGAGTAACTATGAATATATTTTTGTAATACTTGTAACATAAACAAAATAAGAGCGGTAAAAAATAAATGAAGTCGCATTCGATCTGAGAAAATATGCAAGAAAGATCCTATATAAAAACCCTTGTACTCAAATCAGAATACAAAATCAAATTTATTTAATTCTGTGTTTAAGAAACCTCCCACAATGACATATCCTCGTAGTCAATTATATCATGAGAAAAAATCCAAGAGGACTCACGATAAAAACTGATGTTTTTGCTTTAAATTTGTCTTTTGGAACATAAGTAACCAAAGAGATTTTTTATGGTTCTCGTAAGAGAAATTTTCCAATCTTCAAAGCAATACTTATTCTTCAAGTAGAGGGTGAATTATTGTAACATGACGGATAGATGTCATTGAACTGAGTGAGCATACATTACGCATATATAAAGAGTCAACAAAGGAAACGACTGTGGCCAAAGGGGTTAAATCAACATATACGCCTGAGACAAACCTAGACACATAAACTTGTCCTCCCAAACAATTGAGACCACAAATCTACTAAGTTGTGAAAGTAGTCGACCCAAACCAGTTGGGAGATCACTTCGTCAACAAATGTTTTGTTGCATCATCTGAATTGTTCCAGTAAATCCAAAGCCAAAAGAAAGAAATTTTTAAGCTTCCATGTGTCAAAGAGGATCAAAAATGAAAATAAGAATTATATTTGGCAAGAGTATGAACATGAAATCTATAAAAAAGAAAAGGAAACGAAAGACTTGAATTTAAACTTACGGTACCAAGACACTTCATTTGATTTGAAGTGTATGCAATTAAATATTTGGAGCTATCCGTCCCAATGTGATTCATATTTAATTAAGATAATTTTTTTTTTGGATGTATAAAAAAAATTGGGCTATATTATATATATATATATATATATATATATATATATATATAATTCTCACAATAACTTCTGAGAAAGTTGATATTGCAACTTTAAATCATACACGGTTGACACTCCCAAAAGACACTCCCAAGTCCCAACAGGCCTTTAATCTTATGTGCCAGTTCAAATTCAGCAAACTTAGGTGTCTAGAGAGTTGGCTGCCTGTTTACATCGCCCGAAACCTTACGCACTAATATAAACAGAAAGAATAAACTACAAAACTAGAAGATGCGCCGAAGTTTGAAATGTATAGTTCACCAAATTACAGAATGAGTTTTAAAGATAAGCATTGTTGTGATGCAGTGGGCAGTTATCAGAGAAGCAGAAAAATCAATTAGCTAGATGAATCGGGTGCAACTACCAATATGAATCAAGCAGAGCAGTTTACTTTTGGAGTGACTTGGGCTCTGTTCAATTGAAGTGAATGTCAAGGCTTGGAAAAGTTTTTGTTTAGTTGGGAGAAGAGAATTTTCTCATTTCAGTTAAAAATTGAATTCCTCCTATTTGAAGAACTAGATTTTTAAAAAGAAATTTTACTTGAAATGAAACCTTACTTTAATTTTTGATTTAAAAATTATTTTTTTCAATCGCAAAAATACGGTGCATTTATGCTTTATAATACTATTTTTTCCTGAGCCAGAGCATAGGAAGACTGTAACACTATCATCTAAAAAGGCACTCATTAAATGTTTTTTCTATAACGCGATAAATTATTTCTTAAGTTAAAAATTTTATTAAATATTAAATTTAATTCATGATCGAATTCGTGAGATCCGAATAGAAGTTAATCATCTTCAACATGTAAGGATCTATTTGAGATCTACCGCACGCAGCTTTTCATACGGTTCTGTATGAAAACATCCTAAAGAAATTCAAGTTTTTGAAAAACTTCTCTGCACAAAAATTTCATAATAACGCAAAAAAAAATGAAGAGCCAAATAATATTCAAGTAGATGTGCAAACAATTTGAGAAACGAAGCCATAAAAAAACCCAAAATAGATCTCCAAATAGACGACCATAAATGAACCTTTAATGATTGCCTCACCCAAAGTCTTTAAATCCAAACAACCACATAATATAAACCTAAGAAATTAATATTGCGCACGAATCACTAACTTACGACACATCAAGCATTCATTCATATTTAACCCGGATTACATGATGGAGCAATCATTGGGGTTCTCCTCCCTGAAGGACGGCGATGGACCCAGCCGATAGTTACTGTACCAACGGCTGTAGTACTCCCTCCTGATCGCTTCTAATGTTGCGGCGACCGCTGCCTCGGCAGCAGCCTTCCCCGCATCCTGCCCTGAAGCCGCCGCTGCAACATTCTTCTTATCGCTCGTCTCCTTCTCCGAGCTCTGTTCGGCCTTAGCGCTCTCCTTCTCTTGCTCGGCGACAACGAGTTCGACATTCTTATGCATCTTGCTCTCCAACTTGTCCCGAAGCTCAAAAGGATTCACCTTTCCAATCACAGTCAGCTTGCTTGCCGAGATGTCTGACGCGACGGCCTCAACGCCTACCAGAACAAACGATGATTAGAAAGGAATAAGGGAATGTGTGGAAGAGATGGACGGAGAGAAATGCCTTTGAATTTTTCGACTTTTCGGCGGACTTTCTGGACACAATTCTCGCAATGCATCTCAAACTTGAAGACAACGCTAATGGGGCCGTCTTCCGGCCTTTGGTCCTGCAATTAGCATTGAGCAACTGTTAAGAATAGAGCGATGTAGGTGAAATAAAAGAAAGAAAAAATTATTTGATTCTAAAAAAAAGATAAGGGAATTGAAATGTAGTCACCATCCCCATGGATCTGCTTGTTTCATAGGTTGCACTGTCTGGACTGAAGATGTGGGAAGGAAAAATGATCTTGAACGCTTAAAAGTAACAACCCATGATCCATTGCTCTGGGTGCCCACGATCAGGTGAAGTCTTGACTTCCTGGTGTAACTTCCAAGCGCAAACTACCATTTCTTGAACAAAGAATACAGTTGCTCTTTGTCAACTTTCATATATTTAAACATTAAATAAAATTATGAAATTGTCTATGTGGGACTAAAAGCCGGGACAGGTGACGAGCTCGGCAGTATTTTACGGGTAAGGCAATGGCATGTTTCTTCGGGCATTTACATACAATCAATTTCTTATATTGATTATATATATATAAATAATATGTACATGGCTAACACCTAAATAGCCACGCCACCCATTTCTTTTCTCAAGTACAAGGCTAACATCTAAACACAAGGGCATTTAATAGTTTATCGCCAAATTATTACATTATTTTATATATTTAGACATTAAATAAAATTATTAAATTGTCTATGTGGGACTAAAAGTTGGGACATGTGGCGCTTGGCATTATTTTACGGGAAAGGCAATGGCATGTTTCCTCTGGCATTTACATACATACAATCAATTTCTTATGTATATACACAGCTAACACCTAAATAGGCACGTGTGAGGTGGTTTACACGCATACCACCCATTTATTTTCTTAAGTAATTACATTTCTAAACACAAGGGCATTTAACTGCATACCGCCAAATTATTATATATTTACATATCTAACATCTATATATTATTTTGCTTTCCATTTTCAGAAACCAAGTATTTGACATCATATAAAGTATACCGATATCCTAAATATTATATATTATTTGATTAGTTCGAGCCAAAACGAGCCCAACACAATCGAATAAAAGTTTGTTTTTGTTTAGCTCGTTTGCTTAATGAACTAATAGATGTGATTTACTTATGAATGACAGTTCTACCACAAACTGTGTTCCAAAGCCTAACTTTAAGCTTTAAGTGCATGGTCTAGGGTTATATTGGCTCAAATTAGATTATTTTCTATGTCATCTGGTTCATCTCATGAAGACACTTCACTTGATCACAAAATATAGTCACTACATAAAAATAAAAATAAATGCTTCTTGCAACACATTTGAGTCTTTGTTGGTGTTTGCAACATACTAATTTTCTTGTAGCACTTCTAAAGCAACAACAAATACATTGTCATTGCTTAACTCTACCAAAGAATTTCACTACACTTTTGCAAGCGGCGGGAAACGGTTTTTGTAGAGGTATACGACAATGCTCAAAGCGCTCCTAAAACATAGAAAAAACAGTTCAAATATTTGAATATAGCATCGTTTGTAAGATCAGTTACTATACATATTTCTTTAAAAAAAAAAAAATTGTTTGGACTTGACTACTTTTACACATTAATATATCATCAATAAATTTTCATCTAGTGGCAAGAATCTTGAGGCGAAATAAAAATCTCAAGTCATTTTTTTACCAAGAAAAACTCACACTTCAAATAAAAAACATCTAGAACTTTGATTTTGACAAACTTATAGGCACTGCCTGGCTCGATCAGACGAACCTAATGACACTAAAATTAATCCAATTCGATTCAAAGATGTACGAATTAAGATATTAAACCACTTTTAAAAATTTTGAGTGGTAATTTAAGGGTCAAATGAATTTCAAATACGACAAACTTATATACAAATCAAGTGTCTCGATGAGACCAATCCAACAAGGTGATGATTATTCAATTTTGATATTGTTAACACACTTAAATGCCCGCAAAACATCATTCAATCAATTGTTCTGGGTTGTCTGATAGATTAGTTCGTGTTTTTGCCTTATTTACAGGGGATGTCACTCCTATATTCTATAAATAGAGCCCTACTTCCTTCATGAAGGGACCCTAATTCCTTCATGAATGGAAGCCTAGACTGAGAGCCGAATCAGAAAAAAAGGAGGAGAATCTGAGAGTTGTCTCAAATTTAAAGACCCATCGAAAACTTCCTGCCTCTTTATTTGTCGACCTCCGGTGACCACTGATTGCCGCCCCCCACTAACCATTGTCGACCGACCCCCTGCTTGTTGCAAATGAAGCACATTCCAAAGTAATGAAAGATGATACAAAGCAGCCAAAGTAATGAAAGATGATACAGAGCAACACAGTGCTAAACATATGACGTAATGATGCATCCCTAAGACGGTGTGATGACACACCACAAATAAGGTGTAAAGAGGCACCGTGAATGCAGTGTAACAACTACTATTATGACAACCCTCTGCTCTAGCCTCAACGCTCGCCCTTTGATATGTCAATTGTGGTCAATCGATTCTATTGTAGCTCACCACTATGACTAATGTGACCAACCACAACCTACATGACTCACAGCTCATTTAGCTTCCAACATTGGCCTAAGTGGGCTATAAATATTATTCTAGGTGTCAACTCCAACCTATGTGACCAATAAATATTTTCATAGCTCACCACTACGAACTACGTCACTGATTATGATCTACATGGCTCGTAGCTCATGCAACTCTTAACGCTGACCTTTGTGGGCTACATATGTTATTGTAGCTTACCCTTACGCTTATATGATCAACTACGATTTACGTAGCTCACAACTAATGCAGTTCTAACTTTAGGCTCTATTGCCTACAAACACTATTGCGGCTCAACGATATGAGCTATGTGACCAACTACAACCTACATGGCTCATAACTGATGCAACTCCCAACTTCAATCTATGTGTCTTATAAAGGCTATTACAGCTCTACACTACACCCTACATGGCCAACTCCACTGCGCCCTATGTAGCCAACTACGGTCTATGAGACTCACGGCTCATGCATCTCTTAATTTCAACATCTATGGCCTAAAAATATTCTTGCAGCTTATTACTACAGTCTATGTGAACAACTATGACCTATGCGGCTCACATCTCATGCAAATCCTAAATATTGCTTATGTGGCCTACGAACATCATTGCAACTCACCACTACATCCAATGTGACCAACCAAGATCTGGATTTCTCACAACTCATGCAACTTCCTACTATGACTCACTTGACTGACTATTATCATTTAAACCCTTTATTAAGGCCTCTTTGGCCTACCGATGAGATTACAACTCTTCACTACAAATTTTGTGGCCAATTGACTCTCTTAAAGCTTCCAACGACGTTTTATATGACCAAATACTACTACAATTTTCAACTATGATCTCGATGACAAGTTGAGGCTATTATAACCACCAAGATCTACAATTGCTATAGCCCATATATGGCCATTAAAGTCGGATCACTATTATATTCCTAAAATTTTGTCTTTCCTAATATATGAGAAGCGTAGACCTATGTACTACAATTTTCAACTATTATATTATCATCAATCTCAATATGAATGTTTGTCCATAGTGATAAATTTTGAAGGTCCGCACATGTTGTGTGCCCTTACATCTCGAAGGAGCACCCTGTTCATCTAAAAAATACGTAACATGGCATGTTAGTAAACAACATGACAAAATGGAGAAAACTATTGAATGATGAACAAAAATGCATAATAAATAATTACCTAAATATCTTTTATTGGCTTGTATTAAATTTCTCCGGCATTCGAATGAACAGTGATGCTAGTATAAATAACAGCTCAATTGTAAAATAATCATAACATACTTATCAAATGAGTACATCAATCTATATTGTGCGGGACCACCAAGTTTTACTTCTTCAATTAAATAACCAAATAGATGAATCATAATTTTAAAAAATGAGTGCAATAAATATTTATCCATTTGGCATAGACTCAATATAATACTATCATTTAACTTAATTTCCACAAGACTAATGATCTTAGCGCACTTCACTTTCAAAAATCTTGATATTTCCACTATAATGCTTATTACTACTTCTGATTATGTGCAACATTTCAATGCAATTAGAGGAATATCTTTAATAAGAACATGATAATCATGTCTTTTTAAACCTATTATTTATATTCACTAATGCTTAGAACTCTAAAGGTAATTGATGCATAGCCATTAGAGACTTTCATTTTCTTAAGAAGTTCACCAAACATCATCTTGTACTTCTTCAATAATATGAATATTTTCGGCGACAAGACATAACTAAATTCCCATTAACAAACAGAGGTAAATCATTCCACTCTTTAATATCAACTCAACCTTCTTGTGCCTGTAGATCATCTATGGATTTATGAATATTCAATAAAGCCTCAATAAAATTATCATAAATATTCTTTTCCATAAGCATGTCATCTAAATTATGTTGTAACATATTGTACTTCAAAAAAGTCTGTAAAAAATATTTTTCTTATTTCATATGATTAAATCATGTAATTGCCCACTTATCAACATAATGTTTTCCCTCTTAAAATTATTTTTGTCTTTCTTAACTATATCAAAAGTATTATGTAAGTCATGAACTTTTAAAAATGAAAACCAGTCATTTGTTGTGGTGTGGTTCTCATCTCTTCATTGTTATTAAACGTTTTCTTTTATTAGAGAAATATGTGATTAAGAGATAGATAATGACGATGAACTTCTTACTCTTATACAACCATTAAGATTCTGTGTTTTTAGCAAAACAATGGCAAAACAAATCTTTCTTCAATACTCCATCCATATAAAATATTATATGCTGGAAAATCATTACTGGTTCACATTAACATTGCACAAGTATTAAATTTTGTCCACTGACAACATTATAATATAGAACTCCATTACATAATTTAATTAGCTCTTGAATTAATGTTTGTAAATAAACATCAATCTTAATGCACGGACTTCTCTCTTCTGGTATGATTGTAGATAGAATGAAAGACATTTATTTCAAGCTTGTTATAAGAAAATTAAAATCACAAATCAAATATTTTATATGCCACTAATGAAATCAAGAGAATTAAAATCATCTTATTCCGAGACAACCTGAATATTATGTGACTCTATGGTAAATACAAGGTACTGACTGTCAAAAAATTTCTTACAACTCCATCAATTAGGTGTCGTAACAAATCATCTCTATTTATATGCTTATAATGATAGATCACCTCCTACGCAGTTTGTTTTTTTTTTTTTTAATATTCTTTGTAATATCTGAATCAATGAAAAATATCGAATAGT